TACAAAGCAAATCTTATGTATACTAATAAATACAATATATTTGTGACAATAATAAAATATGCTGCACAATGACGTCATTTATTATTTATTTTGTAAGCACTTTGCCCTTTCCCATTATTTTATGTGAAACTGATAAAAGTACGTCCTATATTTCTTAATTGACATAGTGCTTGTCGAAGATAAAAGTAATTGCAAGCTGATTTTTATAATATACTTGATAATACTGAGCCTATTTCATGAATACTTGCGAATGTTCTAACTAGAAATAATTTTTGTTGAACATATATCTTCATCTAATGATAATTATCAATCTTAAAAGTTTACAATAAGATTAGTTCAGAATGAAATATAGAATAATCTGATATCTTATACGAAAAAATTGACTATTTGACTCAATATTATAGAATGAGCATAGTTAACCTTTTAATATTTACTGTTCAACTAAAACAACGATTCATTCTTTCTCATGAAGCTTATAAAATTTTTATCTAATCAATAACGAACTTATGATTATAAATAAATATTTATTTTAATATTATTGTTGTTGCCTTAAAAATCAACGAAATCAAAAGATAGTCTGTTTATTAATATGACGTAGACCTTGATACTATTAAAAATATGTTTACTTATTTGTGATCAAAACAAAAGAAATAATATCTGTCTATCCTTGGTGGTTAACTTAGAGCAAACATAAAATATATAAATAACCAGGTGTATTGTGAATATTTTTCAGCTGTATTTACATCATCTGATATTCATATTAACAGTTAAAAAAAACAATCCCTAGTATTCATTTTCATCTGATCAACATGCTTCTGTGGGATTGGCTAGTAAAACTTTCAGGTAGATTTTTTATTTATTTTATTTTAATTTTCATAATATTCTTCATTTTTTATTATAGTTTATTTACATATTTATCCTGAAAAGGCTTCATCTACCATTGTTTTTGTTGGTGGATATACTGGAAATGCACCAACAGATAGCAAAGGCATATATGCTTTTCTATTAGATGAAACTAAATCAACTCTTACACCATTAGGATTATCTGTTGAAACATCAAATCCATCTTATATACTTGTTCATCCATCACATAAATATCTTTATGCAGTTAATGAACAAGATGATGGTACAGTAACTGCTTTTAAAATTGATTCAACTAAACCAGGACGTTTAACAGTAATAAATCAACAATCATCTCGTGGTGCTGGTCCATGTTATTTATCAACAAATAAAGCTGGTGACTATATATTTGTCGCAAATTATAATAATGGTACTGTTGCTGTATTACCAATTAATATGAATGATGGTAGTGTTAAAACATTTACTGGTTTTGATCAACAAACAGGCTCATCAGTTGATCCCGATCGACAAACATCAGCTCATGCACATTGTATTTTACTTGATAAACACGAACAATTTGCTTTAAGTGCTGATTTAGGTTCGGATCAAATTTATCATTATAAATTTTTTTCAAATAATGGATCATTATTACGAACATCCATTACAAAAGCAGGTAGACCTGGTGATGGTCCACGACATCTTGTATTTAATTCGAATCAAAAATTTGTCTATGTTATCAATGAACTTAAATCAGAAATAACAGTTTTTACTTATTTTCCATTAATGCAATCGATTCAAACTATGTCAACCCTACCAACAAATTTTACTGGAATGAATACAGGTGCTGAAATTGCATTTCATCCAACTAATGAAAAATATCTTTATGCATCAAATCGTGGTCATGATTCTATTGCTGTTTTTTCTGTTGATAGTAATACTGGTTATTTAACACTTATTCAACATATTAATGTTCAAGGACGTACACCAAGAGATTTTAATATTACACCCAATGGAAAATTTTTAGTTGTTGCTAATCAAGATTCAAATAATTTAGTTCTATTTACTATTGATGAAACAACTGGAAAATTAACAGCAACAGGATCATCTGTCGAAGTTAGCAAACCAACATGTGTGGACTATTTAGTATAATAATTTTCCGATAGAATTCTGACTAAACTTTAATTTTTCTTAAATAAATTCAAATTCTTATTATTTTACGCTTTGCATGTCTAGTAATCATAACAACGATTCATCAACAAAATCATTTATTAATTTTGCTTCATTGTATAGATATATATATAGACATAAATCAACCATCATAACAAAAGTTGAATAAAAACTGTTTACCGGAAATATATTTTCCTTTTCCGTTTCTTGTCAGAATAATTTCTTTTTTTTTTCTTTATCTATTGAATAGTTCGATATGACCCTAACCAAGATGCTTCGCTATTCATTCTAGAATAATTATGTTATAGAACTACCCTAGATTTTAGTATGAATATTTGCTTTTATATTCTTCATTAAATAGAAAAAGGTAATACATTAATATAAAAATTATTTTATTTCCGATGCAGTCAGACATATGTCATATGAATAACTTTTCTTTTTAGTATTTTGTTTTTATTGCATATATTAAATACGCGAAATAATATACAGAAAGAAAGTAAAATTCATGTTTAATTTTTAATCATAATAGAAGGTGTAACATATTAAACGGTGTATAGATCTTATGATCGTGACGAACTTACACACACATCTAGAAATTAATCATTCACGTACAATAACTTCAATGTATAGTTTTAACATTGAAATAAAATCGCGCCGATTTAATATTCCCTGCGGGCAAAAATATTAATGAAGTGTATTGTATACTATATATATATATATATATATACTCTTTTTACGATTTTTAGAATGTGATAATGTTGATAAATATCAATTCACCTTAATAAGTCTGTACCTTAATCTTCTTTTTAGTTTCACTTATTAGCACTATCTATAAGTATGTTATTCCTTGCTTTCAAGGTCTAACCAATCATCCGTCCTGCAATTGACGAAGTGAATGACAACTATCATCTTACCTTGAAATAAATAAACCATGCAATAATCAAGGTATTAAAGATGAGTAGATGAATCTTCGTCGTCGTCTTCTTCTATAGCTTACACTTATCAACTTTTTAATCATGCCTCATTTGATCCGTTACTGTATCATTGATGTTCATATGTATGATTCGTCATGCATTGATCGTTCATTGTCATACATATTCACACACATCAAGGTCTGTCTTAATTCACTCGTAGTCTGTATTCATTATTTCAATAGGATTTTTATGTAATATTATTGTAATATACATTTTCCAATGTTATTTCATTCATACGATTCATTACAAGTTCGTTCTTTTCTTTTCTTTTCTCTTCTTTTTTTTATTTCATTACATACGCGATATCACATTAGCTTCAATTTTATTAACTATATTGCGACTATCGATAATATTATCTCCATTTACATCTACCTGTGTGCATACATGCGTGCGATTTTTTACGCATGTTTTGTTCATAGATAACATTTGATAAATTTAATGAATAAATTAATTAATACTTTCGATACTCTTATCGTTAAACTTAAGAATATGTCTTATAACATGCTTGAATTATGACAATAGTTTTTCTTTCTCATGTAAGTAATCATTATATAGACAAACTAATTTATAATAAATAGAAAAAATTGTTTTTGTATTTGTAATCTGTCAAGATAAACAATGGCATTAGATCTTTTATATTGTTAATTAATGAATAACAATTGTAAGAGAGAGAAAGATCAGAAATAACAAAACATTCTTGTATACCAATATTCAGTTTATGATAGAAGAAAAAATGTTTTTTTTTGATCATATGAAAAGAAAAGCTTGTCACTTGCTGAGTTGAACACATGTATACGATGATAGATGATATAAGATTTATATCTGTTAGCTAGTCTTCATTATAATATTTTTCCTTTTCAATACATACATCGATTAATAGGCAAACCTTTCGTCTCTATTGTAGAGTAATAATCTTGGTGACAAGATTTTCTTGTATACATATGTAGTTAAAGTTCAAGAGCATACATTCATATCTTGCATATTGATGAGGGTCAGATAAAAGGAATAAGACGATGGCAAGGTAATCAAGAAAAAAATTTTCCTCCCATATATATATATATATATGTAGCCTTTTCATTATTTTTATGATGATCAAATGTAAAACAATTGTTTCGTTTTTTTCTTTATAGATATTCATTTTCTTAAAATAACAAGATCTGCTTGTAAATTAGAATTAATTAACACTATATCATAATAATGTAAGTATAAGCCAGTTTATCTTGTTTAAGAGTGGTTCATTAGAATTCAGTATCTTTTTCTCTTCAAGCAAAAGTATTTATATAGGAAAAATATGTAAATGTATTTTTTATGGTAAAGATTTGAATGATGCATGCATTCGTCATTTTTTTCTTCTCGTTATTAGATAGAGAAAAAGAATAGTATTGTTAATGACGATAATACGCAGATGTAGTCTAAACAATGGTTTGTTTTGAAAAAGAAAAGAGTCATTGTTTTGATTGAAGAGTAAGACACTAATCTTCGCGTTTATATTTGTACAGAAAACAAAAATACAAATATTTTATGAGTGACTAAATCATACAATTGAGATTAATTCAATTACAACATTTTATTTGAATATATTTCTTATGGAATGAGAGATAATTGTTGAATTGTATTGTAACAATTTTTTTGTTTCTAGTAACTTTTTCTTCTTCTTTTTTTTTTATACAAGTACATCTTCCGTTACTACTGACAGCGGTCAATGAGGAAGGAAGAGAGACAGAGAATGGGAATTGAATTATTAATCATATAGAGATCTCCTCTTCTTTTTTTTCTCTCATTTTTTTCCACTATTATATTTTCCTGTTGATGTGATTGTAAAATAATGATGAAGCTTTTCATGTTCGCTTAGCTGATTCATGACAAATGTATGCATATGTATATGATCAAACGAGTGGCTTTTTTTTTTTTTGCATTTTATATTTGATTGATACGTTGATTTCAAGTGATGCTAGACATTTCAACAGTCATGTGTGAAAAAGTCTTACATATACATTATATAGTCAAAGACACTTTCTTTCTTCTTTCTTTTTTCAATATATCGACAGGTTTATTACATCATCATCATCATCATGTTCGATGAGACTCTTCTATAACTGTTTATAGACGCCACCCTGCGATCATCACTTAGTACACTTGTGTCATTGATTGTATGTATGTATTTACAATACATATACATAGATATTCATATCACATCAGTAGTAGTAGTCGTAGTTTTTTTTCTTATTGCGTAGAAATTAGAATATGCCGTTAAAAGTCATACATATTTAGATAGAAGCCATTTATTTTACTAACTGCTTTTTATGATGCATCGTACATTTGTTTTCTTTCTTTGATTAAGTATACGCTACACATATGTGTATGTGTATATGACAACAGATTGTAAGCTTTACAGGGAGAATTATCATGACTAGTCATTATACTATTAAACAATTCTGTTTTGTATACATCGTAGGAGAGAGGGAGTAGAAATTGATAAGCAGAAGAAGAAAAAAAAGCGTCTTTTATGTTGATATGAAACTAGACTGATTATATATATATATTTATTTACAGTTTAGATAAGTTTTGATTGTCTCCCAACAAAATTTTCAATTATATTATTAACAATGCATTCAAATGGTGCCTTTCGAATAGCTACTGATACACTTCGTCTATCCCCTCAAACAACGAGTTCAAGTGGTTATCATAGTGATTTATCATCAACACATGAATCACCTGGATCAATCAATGGTAATATAACTACTCATACTGATCAATATTCTTGTCGTATTCGAAAGAAAACAGCTGATAATAAATTATTAAAAAATAAAAGTCTATCACAAATATCGAATTTTATACGTAAACAATATGAACGAGCAAAATCAAAATTAATATCTGAAAAACAACATACACGACCCATTCAAACTTGTACGAAATCAACATCAACTACACCTTTATCTTATTTATCACAAAGTCATCATGCAAAATCTGTATCATCGAATTATAGACAAAGTTCATTTATCGAACCGGTAAAGAAAATTCAACTTTAATATAAATAAATATTTCTTCTTCTTCTTAAGGTTCGATCTGTATATGTTCATCCAGTATATGATAATGCTATGAAAGAATTTCCTTCAAAACCTTATACATCAATGCATAATTATTATTCACAATATCCAACGTATACAAAACCAATTCAAAATAATATTGATTCTCAATCTTTTCGTCATTCATCTATAAGAAATAATTTTGGAAATCTTACAACAGGATGTTGTTTACCAACGAATCATTATACACGTCGTCAGCAATATTATTCAAATAAATGTCAAAATTATTATCCATATAAATATATTAATAAAAATCATGATTATAATCGATCATTATATGTACCTTTAAGTGATTTTATTAGTACAGGCCATAGTGCATTTAAACCAGTTAAAATTTCTCAACAACGTTTATATCATACATCAGAAGCCATACCACCACCACCATCAGATGATCCATGTGATCTTGAAGTTGCACAATATTTTTGTCGTACACCACAATGGAGTAATCCAAATTATTTTGATATTTATCAAAAAAATATACCAAGAACATTACTTAGAAAAAAATTTATTGAAACTTTATGTTAAATGTTTTCTCTTTTCTTTTCGTTTTTTTTGTGTATTGACGTTGTTCTGTTCTCGTATCCGAATGATAATATCATTATTCTGTTATTTTTAAAAGAAATTTATTCCATTGTACAATAAGTTCATATAAATGACAATTAATATTATTTGACTATACTTTGTACTAATAGAAGACAAAACGGTATCTCTATTTTGAAGGTTAGATAACAAAATAAATCTACATACTTATTGATGATATAGATTTTCTCTTTAAAGTTAACATTTGATAACAGAATAAAACATCAAATTGACTTTAGAGTTAATCACGAATAGAACTTACGAGAAATTATAATATGAAAGATTATGTATTGAAAAGTAAAGATATTCAATTATTATTAATGTGATCCGATTATCTATTACATTGTTCATGATTCTTTTTTGGGTAGTATGAAATGAGATAGGTCCAATGATTAACATCTATATTTTATCATGGTTATGACCGTGAACCTAAAATTGAGAAAAAACACTTATCCTTGAATGTCAGATTGCAGTAAGGATAACTATATGTCTTTACCTTTCAGTATATAATCTTTTGATCTATTTTTACGTATTCATAAAACATGTGAATTTCTTTAGATTATATTCATTAATAGCATCATGAATGTTCTTAGAAATTATTCATATAGATTTTTACATGTTTTCAAGCGATTCAATAGGTTATTGATCATATCTATTGAAATCGAGCATAAATACAAAGATATAAATAGTTCTTGCATCAGATATTCATGATTTATCGTTTGTCTATGAAAATAATCATAACTCAGTATTTCTAAACAATAGAAAAAAAATTTAATATTTCGAATTGAAACAATTTTCTTATTCTATTGTCGTCATTTGTTAATTATAAGAGTAAAGTCAATTCTAGGAATGGAGATGTCTACTAGAAATACATTAACGATGATGAAAAATAACTATGCTAATATTTTTGTTAAACATGAATGCTCATCGAGAATATAGAATAATAGTACATAGAAAAGGAATGAGGACAATATGGGAAAAATTATCTTGGAGTATACTGTGGGTACAAAGAATGAATATACATATCTTTTTTATTAAGTATTAACTTGAGAAGGAAAGAATTCTTTAAATATGAATTTGAGAAATCGTGTTCGAATTATAATCGAATACAATGTATTCGATACTAGCTCAACCGATGAATCTGTAGTTCGAACTCAACGTTGGGCAACGCGATTATATATTTTAGTTCTTTCATTAGCTATGATGGTTCTATTGTTTTATACAGTATTGAATGTTTCTGCCGTACAAATTGAAATAGACAAACCTTCTTTATCAACATATTTTGATTTATACAATGAATATTATAATATAAATTGTCCTTGTACACAAATATCTACATTATATAAAGAATTTCTTCAACTATCCTATACAAATAATCAAATTTGTTCAAGTGAATTTATAACAACAGAATGGATTGAATTTCTTTTTAATAATAATCAAACAACATCACGTTATGCTGCAGATTTTCGTGCAACAGCAAGTCATCAATTTCAAATTCTTCGAGAATTATGTCAATTATCTAATACAGCTATTGAAGATGGCCTTCAAATGTTATACAATAGTCAACTTATATCTGGTCAATTGTTAAGTGAAGATTTATTTGAAGCTGAACTAGAAGCGGATATACAAGCATTTCAAAGAGTTACAACTACAAATTTTATACGTGAATTAACATTTGTACGTTCATTAATATTTGGAAATCAATTATTACCAGCTATCGAAACAGCTTTTACAATTATTGTTCGTTCTGATACACCAGGAATAATTCGATCTACGTAAGTCAATAGAAATAGTTTATTTGTTTTTTTTGAAATTTATATTTTAGACCTGGAATAAATACGAATTTATTTCAACAATTCAATGGTTCAGAATGTGGATGTACGGATTTTGCTAGTTGTCATATGTCTGCTGGATTCTATGATTTTGATACATTTGATACTAGTCAAGGAATATTTAATCAAAATTTATTACCTCCTCAAGAATATTTTTTTGAATGGTATACTGGTTGTTGGCCAAGTGAAACTCTTCTTTTATCAAATCTTCAAAATTTTTATAATCAAACAGCAGTAAATAAAATTATTACTTATATAAATTCATCCGATTTCTTTATTGCACTTAATCTTTCACAAAATAGTAGTTTTAATCTAAATTCTACTATAGAATCATTAGTTGAAGAATTATTCATTGAAGAATGGATACAACAATTAAATTATACTGCTTATTTTCATCAATGTCAACCAGATACTTGCATATTTGATGTTAACAAACGAGCATCAGTTTTATATATTTTTACTTCACTTCTTGGATTATATGGTGGTCTTTCAGTCGTACTGATATTTGTTTCTCCTTATGTTGTTAAATTTATTATGAAACAAATTCAACGAAGATCAAAAAAATTATTTATAGAACAACCTGTATCTAATCGTAAGTACTACTAAATCAAACTTCATCGTCATGTCCTATAGAATTAGCGCCAACTACTACTGAGATCAGATTCTTCCACCTGTCCCGCTAATTAATTCTCAGATTCCACCGGTAGCATTTCTTTTAGGATCTGAGTCGTATAGTAGCACTCTGAAGACATATATTTTATATATTTAGATATGTACGAATCTCGTCTTGACTGGATAAAACAACTTTGGAATCTTATTGTTAATCTTAACATTTTCAAATCATCAAGAAAAAATACGGCTCTTGATCAAAAACATCAACGATGGTTTACTCGTCTTTATATTCTATCTCTTATTCTTGCTGTTCTTTTTCTTACTTTTTATACTTGGTTAACTACGGAATCAAGATTGATAACAATTAAAAATCCATCATTAAATACTGTTAAATATTTGCAAGAACATGTTTCGTCTTTACAATGTCCTTGTACAGATTTATCAATTTCATATGAAGATTTAATTTATTTAGAACCAACATATCATCAAATATGTTCAAGTGAATTTATTGGTTCAACATGGATTGAAGGACTTAATGAAATTGCTTTTCTTTCAGCTGCAAATTTATATTCTGCAGATTTCCGTTTTTCCGGACCAATATTTCAATTATTAAAATCTATGTGTGATTTAGGAAATGATACAGTAATCAACGCATTATTTGTATTCGGACAAACACAATTAGTTACAGATAATTTAATTACAACTGAATTATTTAATGAACAATTAGAATTAGCTATTGACCAATTTATATCAACAACACCAAATACTTTATTACGTATATTACAATTAATTCGTAATTTTACATATATGAATCAATTTGTATCAGGTTCATATGCTAATTTTAATGTCAATTATTCTATTGTTCAACAATATGCAAAATCAGATATAACATTAGGTATATATAATACTAGTATACCCTTACCAAATGGAACATTAATGAATTGTTCATGTGCAAATGATATTCAATGTGGAAGACCAGCAGCATTATATAAAGGTCCAAGTGGTGCAAGAAATATAATCTTTATTATTCCGGGTTTTTATTCAAAATGTTTTCCAGTTGAATCTTTACTTCCATCGACTCTTCAATGTTTTTATAGTAATCAACCATGTCTTGATTTAATGGGAAATATACTTAATGAAAGTTTATTTCATAATATAACACGATTGAATGCATCGCAATCAAGTCGTTTTACAATAAATACAACAATTAATGATCTTCTTGAACAATTATTTATTGAATCATGGTCATCATCTCTATTTTATTCATCCTATTTTAATGCATGTAAACCTATAGATTGTTCCTATACAATTATTACACAAAAAGGTGCACTTCAAGTTGTTACTACTATCACTGGACTTTTTGGAGGATTATCTGTTGTTTTACGACTTTTGATTCCAACTATTGGTTTGGGATTAATTAAATTAGCTCGTAAATGTCATCCTACACAACTAACAGATATTACAGTTCAACAGAGTAAGTTTCATTTCTACATGAGATAATAATTAAGTATTTCTTATTTATTCTAGATAATAATCCTGATTTAGATCGCACTTCAATTCTTAAACAAATATATTCATATTTCTTATTGTTAAATATGTTTGAAACAACTCATAAAAAAATTGTTAATGAAAGAGAAATTCATCTTCAACGACAAGCTACTCGTGTTTATTTTCTTTTACTTTCATTAGCACTTTTTATTCTTATTATTTATACATCATTAACATATCAACAAAATAATACTAAAATTCAAATATCTTCTCTTAAAACATTTGAAAATTTACAAAATCTATATGGTTCAACTACAGTTCAATGTCCATGTACAAAAATATCATTTAATAGTGCAACATTTTATCAAATCGAACCAACTTTTCATGAAATATGTTCAAGTGATTTTGTTAATCAAATTTGGTTGAATATTTTATTTACAAATTATAAACAACAGAATGTCTCAGATGATATTCCATTTACTTATACCGGAACTGCTTTTACTTATTTTCAAACTTTACAAATTCTATGTGATTTAACTAAACAAGCTACGACTGATGCTCGAGATCTTTTTCTTTCTACACAATTTGTCTCAGCATATATGCTCGATTATGGTATATTTAATGAACAAACAACCGCCGCATTAAATTCTTTTCAATCAACAATATCAAATAATTTTGTACATACATTACAAATGCTTGTAGGAATGGCACAAGGAAATGGTCTTATATCAGCTTATTCAACAAATTGGGGTCTTTTTCTTCCTAATATGACAAAAGATGCGACTATATATACAAAAGCACGAATATATAATGAATGTAATTGTGCTACATCGGCCTCATGTGTTCAATCCTCAATACCATATGTACCAGGTTATGTTGTTGGATGTCTCCCTTTAAATTCTTTCTTAAAATCGACATTCGAATGTTTATATAATCAATCATGTATTAATATTATTTCATCGTATGTCAATGCATCAATTATTCCACGAATATTGAATAATACAAATTCACGATTTAATTCAAATTTACTTGCAAGTGATATTGTCGAAGAAATGTTTATTGAATCATGGTCAATAAATATCTCTTATAAGGCATTTTTCCAACAATGTCAACCAACTTCATGTTCTTATAAATTAATTGATCGATACAATTTATTGTATGTTGTTACAACTATCTTAGGTCTTTATGGTGGATTAACTGTTCTATTGAAAATAATTGTACCTTTTACTATACGTCGGTTGCATGCTGTAGTAAAACGAAATCGAATTATACATATACAAGTGGTACCGAAAGAAGAACGTTATTAAATTTTTCTAATAAATACTGAATAGTTTATATAAAATGCAGTCTTTTACACAAGAGAAAGAATATAAATATCACTTCGATCATAAGACGTGTTCATCGTGTTTTTTCTTCAACTAGAATTCTTATTCAATATTACAAATTTCTTTTATTTTTCTTAACTGCTATTTGTTTCATATGAAAGCAAATGATATATTTACCGTAACAGTACATCGTACTATAACTAATTATTTTTTCTCATTATATTACGGAAAACAACTATTTACAGTTTGTTGATAACAGCGCACTTTTTTATGCACTCATAACCACGCTGCCTTTTTTTCCTAATAAAACATGTATGATTCTGTTTTGATTGATCTGGAAAGAATTCGACGTAAAAATCTTAAATTGATTTGTGAGATACATTTATAGATAGTATATGTTACGGAAAAAAATGATTTTTTTTCATGTAAGAGTTGCAAATTGAATAATGATGTTGCGATGTTTCTGTAGTAAAATAAAAATGTTACGCCTTTGTAAAGTTTACAATATTGATCAATATGACATATTATAAAAATTAATTACATCGTTTCTACTATGTTATTGATGTGTTTATTTCACAACTTTTTCTTGTTGATCATAAATAAAAATACAAAATAACAAATATTCTGACATAGCTGATTTCGATAACTTTCATAGTGTGATACTATTACAAGAGGGAATAAGCGAAACTTCATCTACTTCAAAACCTTTTGGAAGTACAAAGGGAGTACGGAAGTATCGCTTTGCCACCTTGGTACTATTATCATCAGTTGCTCATTGTTAATATCAATGTCATATATCCTTTTAGTCTTCTATATATCGTATGTCTGTTTGTTAGAAGAAGTTTATAGAACTGATCTAGAAATTTAGAAATGTTCTTTCGATCAGTATAACCTAAAGAATTAAAATCATGACATTTTTTTTGTAATTTAACGCTTTACTTTTAAGTATTAACATAATCATGATATATTTCAATTAGTCTTTATAAAATAAGCGAGACGATCATATTCAGCGGTTGTCAAAAGGTAAAAGCGTAGCAAGTAAGCTTTTATTATTGTCACAGATGGTCTAACTTTATTTATTTAGATTCTTTATCCATCTGTACACCTGTATAAGCATGAGGAATACGCACACGTGTTTCTATAGGTACGCCACGTAACCAAAAGAGGAAGAAACATACACAATAGAGTCAAAGTTTAACCTTGAATAATAATATAGATTGTAATAGTGCAATTTTATCAATAGAAAATGATTCAAATATTTAATCTTGTGGTTATATAAAACATTTTTATTCTATACATAAATGTATATATTATTATATTTAAATAAAAATAAAGCATGAATAACGATTTTTTTTTGTTTTTAATTAGTATATACAATTCTGCTTTAGTCTAGAAAAATCTGGTTATATTTAACATACAAAAAAAAATAATGATTAGAAAATTGACAATTGTCGACATGAATGTATAAACATAAATATCTAGAAGAAAGCAACATTAGGATGTAGTTTTCCTTCATGTGATCCTTGTTTTCCCATTCGATGTTGAGCTTGTGGTGTCGCAAATCCATGATGCATTAATTGTTTTTGAGGTGTTACATGTCCGGGAAAATGTGGTGATTGTTTATGTAATAGTAATGGTGTCGCATGACGTCCAAGTTGTTTAGGTGCACGATTTTTATCAGCAAAAGCTGGAGGTGGAGGAGGATGATGTTGAAATGGAGGAAGTGGTGGATATTGCATACCACGATCGGTTTTCTTTCTACGATGTTGTCGATCGACAAAAGCTAACATTTTTCGTTTAACATGATCAAAATGACGTTTAGTTGATGCACTCATACCATCACGAGGATCTTGATCAGCAAAGGGTGATAAATTGTTTCGTTGATTCATGCTAATACCACCGGCGGCCATTTCGGGTCGACAATTATGTAATAAATATGCAATGTGTTATATCTAGACTATAATGTGTATATACTGTGCAAGATATGTGAAACTCTGTCAGTATTTATATAGGGACCTGTTCGTCGTCATCATCTATGTCTAACGAACCATAACATATTAAGCATGTTTTTTTATTTATTATTTATCATATACATCAATCGCGAACGTTTGAATAAAACCGAAAGGTAATATTTGTTCTATTAATGTGAATCAATGACAACATGGAAAATCGGAAAAATATCGTCATGTGATAGTTAGTTTTTTTCTCTCTGGCGAAGAGGAAGTACAGACGTAATGTCACCTGAATGCATCATATTTTTTTCGTTGACCATAAGAAATGCAATTTTACATAATTATAATTTGTTTTTTTCTCTTTTTGCAAAAAGATTATATTGTTTTCTTTGATTTATTCACTTTAATATTTACAAACAAAAAAAACGTAATGAATAGAGAAAAAAAAATCAACTTGTCGATTTTAAGTGCAAAATAAAATATATATTTATTTATGATAGAAAAAAACAATTGTCAATCAATGGTTGAATTACATATCGAAAGTGGAACATATGTGTCGTTTCACTTAACGGCAATGAGAACTTTCGTTTCTACTGCAAAAACATAATAATATTTTTTTGTAATAGTTTTGATTGATATGACAAAACGAAGGATACGATCGACAATTGAAAAAAAAGAATATCTACATTGTATTGACAATAGCTTTATAAGAAAAAAAATAAATCACATCTGGCATTAGACGATTAAATCATGTCGATATTAAATATAACGTTTATAATTGTACTCTTTTCGTGCTTATATAATCTAGTCAATGCTGGTCCCTATATTGGTGGATATATCGGTGGTGGTATAGGTGGACTTGTAAGTAGATTAATAAATGAAAATTTTGATCTATTCATTTATACTAGATTATATTAATTCTTGATATTATTGCAATTTTTGATGTCCTTCGAACACCTCGTGCTATTCTTGGAAAATTACTTTGGATTTTATTGATTATAATTTTTCCTATTGGTGGTATGTATTTAGTTTTTCTGTGGATGTTGAATTGATTGTTTATATTTTAGGATTACTTATTTGGTTAATTTGTGGACGAAAAACAACACCAGTTATTTAAGAATGATTTTTATGAAAATTATATGAATGAAATATATCTTTATAAGGATATGTATTTGAATTAAATTTTAAAGATAATTCGTTTTAATTATCTACAAAATCAAGTTTTATTTTATTTATAAGAGTTATTATTTGTTTTACATATATAATACAATACACGATTAAAAAATAAATAAATTTCTTTTTTTTATCAAAAACAAAAAAGGTCTATGTTAACATTGATTTTATTTGATCATGAAGTTGTCAATTGAATTTCATCATCTATATAAAACAAAAGTTTTCTTTGAGTAATACAATATTTGAAGAAGGTAAATCTTGTTTGATTTTTCATATCTATTTTAGACGTTTAAGAAAACTACTCTATCAATCAATATGTATTATACTTGTCACATGTTCAGAGAAAGATTGTAACGGTGATCCGTTTGGAATTATTTTCTTCGTTATTACTCAGATTAAGAAAGTTGTTTCTCACAAAGTTTCAAATCTACTAAAAATCTAAGAATTCTCAAGCCTGTGGTGCATATTAATTATATAGTTTATCTAGTAAAATCAATACATATTGCTGTTCAATTTGATTATTAATGATTAATATACAATATCAATCAAGTCTACAGTCAATCGAAATGAAACTTCAAAGCCGAAATTTCGCTTTTCTTTCATATTCAACACTTTTTATATGCATAAAAAAAAATCAAGGCTTTACTTCTTAACTGATTACTCTCAGAAAACATTCATCTCTCATTGCATAGTTTTATTCAATACCTAAACCAGATACAATCTGAATTCGTTCCTACAAGCATTCACTACTGCAGTAATCATCAATATATTAAGTCAAAATCTATCAGCAGACTCTATTTTCGATGTATTCATCCGTATGAATGTGCAGTTTACCAGCTCGTATAATCCTACTAATAATAAGATCTAAAGTTTTACATGTCTATTGCTTAGAAAATATTTTATATCGTAAGATATGATTAGAAAAATGTCATACAATACCTTTAGACGTACTATTATTATTATTGACATTTTTTTTCTTATTATTACGTTTATTTCGTTTCTTTTTCTTAGATGTTTTTGTATCGAGTGTAGGCGATAATGTTCGATCATGTTCTTGAATATTATCGGTTTGTTTTTTTTTATTTGTTAGTTTTTTAAGTGATGCTAATAAACGAAATTTATCCGGTGTACGTTGTTTTTCTACACGAAATTGTGTATAATCAAGAAAAGCTAATGCAAAACGACGACTTTTTATTGTAACTATATAATCATCACCATATAATAATGAATGTGGTGCATCAATTGTACTTGTATTTGCACTTGCGGCTTCCATTTCAGCTAATGATGACATTAAATTTTTTGCTGCACTACGAATAAATTCCATATCACCGCTGTGCTCATTTGATTCATCAAGAAATATATCATCATTATCAAAATCTGATGGTAAATCATGAAAATCATCTTCACTTTCGGTAGTTTCATCATCACCATCATTAGTATTTACAATTGATTCAGCATTTTTATCTTCAATGAGAGGTTGAGAATTTGATACTATTATTGTTTGATTTAAAGAAGAAGAAGACGGGCAATGAATTTCTTCTTCGATTAATGATTTTGATTCTTGATTTACTTCTGTAATTGATTGGAATACGATTTTTATTTACTTTGATGATAATTAATACAAACCTGTTTGTTGATCATCTATAGGTAGATTTGATGGATGAGATTCTAATGATGAATCCATTTTTTGCATAGGAAGTATTGTCTCTTGTTGCGTAATCTTATTTATTACAGGAGAAGAAGAAGATAAAACAGTAGTAGTAGTCAGTTTTTCTGGAAGTTCTATTTGACGTTGTTGTAAATAATTATTCAAATGATTTTGTGAGTAAATATTAATATAAATTGGTGTTAATCGAATAGATTTATGAAATGTTTCGTTTATTGATTGTATAAGATCTAAAGTTAAAATTTGAAATTAACTATCAAGTCTTATTGATTTCATCATTTTAAATCAGTAGTATAGCGAGAAGAGGGCGGGGGCAAAAGGGTAATTGCCCATTTCATTTGGAAATTTGCCTATTGCAATTTTACTTTTTTCGAAGTTGTTTATTTATTTTTGAATTAATTCGTAACTATATTTTTTTCTTCAGTTTGAAGTACACTCACACTTTCTGCTTGTTCTTTCTGCGAAAAAGTAAAAAAAAAGAAAAGAATCGCTTCTTGTATATTAAGTGAACAAGAGTTTGATTTTATCGGGCATCTGGTCGCGTAAAAGTAGAGAAAGGTAGACCAAAGACAAGAGAAAATCTACAGCTTCTGCTTAGATAAACAAAAAATACATCTAACTAGAACTTACAATCTGAGTTTAATGCATGTTCGATTAAAAGAATCTTATTTCATTTTTCTACGTTATCAGTACTTTGTTGAGCTGAAAAATTTTCGCCTACCAATAAGAATCTTGCCCATCATTTTCTTCGATGCAAGAGGAGTTTGCCTATTAGTCTAAAATCCTGACTACGCCACTGTTAGTCTATATATCAAGAGTGAGCTCAGAGACGATAATTTAAATAATATGATTATAGTTTTGTCTAACTGAACATTTTATATGACTTTGTATAATCGACTTACCATTATGAGAATAGAAATGTACAAATGAACAATAAGGATAAGTTTTTACATGGAAAATTCTTGTTTTATCAAATAATTTTCTAATATCATCTTCGAAATATTCTTGATCATATTCGATAAATAATGTCTCTGGATGATACAATTGAATGCAATTAATCATTGATCCATTACATTCTGGATGACTTCGAATATTTGAGACAATCTTAGAAAAATCTTTAAAAAGTAAATGAAATCTATTAGATTAAACTATTTTTTCTAGTTTTCATTTACCAATATCTTCATTATATTCAACAATAATTATTTGTTTATCATTTTGATAATATTCAAATTTATTCTTTGTATAAGGCATTGATACAATATCAATATATGATGTAAGACGATTTGTTATAATTGGAATATTTGAAAAACATACATGACGTGTATCGATTGTTTGTTGAAGAAGACGTGGGGTAAAAGTAAATGATTGAAATGTGACTGATCCATGAGCAATAACTTGATCAGCAGCTAAGTTTAAGAGAACAAAAAGAATCTTATCAGATGTAATAAATCTCCGCGGTTTTTTTACTATCTGAATTTTCATAAAAGACTTGTGCAACACCTAAATGTTGATAGATTTGATGAGTTCGTATTGGACCACCATCAGATTTATTATGATTGCTAAAAACTACTTCAATAAAATGAGTTTGAATATTTTTGTCTGGTTGCCAACATATCTGAACGCCTTTATCAGCTAAAATAAACCAAAACAGTTAAAGTTCACAACATGAAAGTTATATTTCATAAAGAAGTATACAAATCTGTGGAATTGTTTGTTGTTTTGGAAGAGTTTTTGAAGTATTATGTTGTCGATTATTTTTTTTCCATGATGAATTTCCATTAATTTGTGGAGTGGTTGCTAGTCGCCAATTTTTTGTTAAGGATGATGATGGTGTTGGATTATTACTTATAGATGAATTCAACGTAGATTGTTGTTGTCCTTTTGATGAATTATGATTTATTAAATGTTTCTAAATGAATTAAATTTCAATTTATTCAATAAAACCATCTTTCTATACTTTCGATTGACAATAAACACGAAATGCTCTAGTTAATACGTCTAAATCAAGATTCATTAATGGTTCAAGTATATCTTCGTGAAATTCTTTCGTTATATTATGTGGATATGGACAATTCATCAGACGACGACAGGAACTTGTATAGAAATGATCATAACATACATGAATATTCGAACATGTACCATTTTTATCTTGACATATAACATGATTTCGACATATCTCAAACTATAAGATAGTATGAAAATGAAAAAATATAATATAAATTCAAATTAATATACAAACTGGCATAAAAAATTCAATTCGATTTTGATCACGACTTATTTTAAATATTTCTAAATAATTTTTAATACTAGCCAAAACATATTTTGAATTTGAACATAATCGATGTTCAAGACAATAGTCACATAGAAAAGATATTTCAAATAGACATGTTTGTTGTTCGATACATAATCGTAATATAGTATTAACAATATCAATATCCATTTTATTATATAATAAAACCAAGGAGAAAAATCAAAAGTTTATGTTTTACTGTTCCGTATTCTTGTTCAATTTTTTTGTTTCAAACAGAATTGAAAGACCTTTTTTGACCAATACGCATTTGTCATCAAATATTGTCGCTATTTAACAGTTAAATATTTAGTTATCAGTTATATACAAGAATGAATAAAAAATATAGAATTTTGCTTATGCTTAATTTATTTTCAGCTAATGATATTACGAAATGAAATGTTTAACTTTTCCTCAAAAAGAATTCTTTTTTTCGTGCCAAGAAATGAATAGTATCTTGATAAGAATACAAGGTGATCTCTAGTTTATTTGATGAAGTCATTAGAGAAGATGTATCATGATAAGATATTGTGTCACGATACAACCGGGCAACAGTTCATATCGAATAACATTAACTAATACTTAGAAATTTACAAACAATAAGTCAACAAAACGAAGACATTAAATTGTACTTCGATGTTAAAATAGAGAACAACTATCTGCTCAAATCTCTCATATTTAGTAACGAAAATGTCGCACACGCTTTACGATCACTTTTTCTCTAGAATAGTTTAGAAGAAATTTCGGTTTCTATTATTTTGAAACAAGACGCTAGTGCAAATTTTAAAGCGTTCATTCTAATAGAAAGACATTCAAAACATCACAATCGAGACTTAAACTACTGAAGAATAAACAATTTCGATTTAGTCTACCTTTGCCGAAAATGAAATTCATCGTATCGATCCTATAGGCAACATTTGTGTTTTGGGTAATTAGTCTATGATACCAAATCAATTGATCTCCAAGTGGGAAGACCTCCAAGTCAGATGGCTACCAACTAACAGGCTTACTAGTTGAGACGGATGTGGGTGTGAGTATTACATTAACCTTACTATGACACCCACACCCTCAAGATCGATTATATGCAGTTTGAATGGGCTTTCAGTGAGAAATTCATTCAGTGAATTTCTTTTGACGAAAGTGGGATTTACCTCAATTTTTTAGTGATAATCACCTGCAATTAGATGAATAGTCCATATGTGTTCTATCAATAAAATCTACATTTATACAACATTAAATTCCAAAGCCTTACGCTAAATCAATCACATGCATGCGAAAAAAGATCCCGAATGTTGCGCACGAGATAAAAAGTTCAATAAAAATATTCTTAAGAAGGCATATAATTAACTTCATAAGCTAGTATAAGTTAGATTCAAAAAAACTTTTTTTAACATCTCTAACATACACTAATCTCAATTCATACCCAGTATTTATATTAAATGTATCTAGGTATATATAATTATAAGTATTCTAGATAAACATATTCTCTAGCAATATTAGATATCGCTGATCATCAAAAGATTCATGTAGAAATATCAGGTGTACCATTAAACTTAAAATGATGTGAAATAAAAACTGTAAAGAACAGTGAATTATAAATAGTTTATCTCGTTCTGATATTACTTATTAATGTAATAAAGAAAAGATTTTTTTTTTTTTTACTTCGTGTTTATTACATATAAAATGCCAAAAGAAAAGAAAAAGCAAATAAAGATTATCACAATTATTTCTGAAAATTAACGTTATATGAACCACTCGATGGATCTTGTTGAAGTTTAAAATTATTTGTTGATAAACCAAATGGTTTTAATATCATATTTCCCAAGTCTTTTAATTTACCTAAACAAAACAAAAAAATATTCAAGTATTTTTACCTAAAAAGAAAACATCATATGTAACATACCTAACATTTCTTCTTTCATTTTTTCATTACGTTCTTTTATTTGATCGGGTAATGTCTTAACATAATCAATAAAGTTATTATTAGAAGAAGAAAAAACACTACTATCTTACATAGACTTCTTTTCGTGCTTGATTATTATTTGGGTCAAGTTCAAGAATTTTTTGGTAATCTTGTAATGCGTCTTCTAATTTATCAATTTGTTTATAAGATTCAGCACGACGTGCATATGCTTTCACATAATCTGAATCAAGTTCAATCGATTTTGTACATGATTGAACAGCAGATTCATATTTTGCCTAGAAATTATTATAGAGAAAAAAATGAATGACTTCATTTTTTGTTTGATATTTACCATTTTCATTAGACATGCTGCACGATTTGCATAGATAACAGCACGAGCACGAGTATGTTTCAGTGGACATAATGATATTGCCTCACTATATTTTTGTAATGCTTGGTCATGTTCACCCTGCCCAAATAAAGTATTACCTTCATCTTTTGCTAGTTGGGCTTCGCTATGACGTTTCTATAATCAAATAAATTATTTATTAGTGAATATAGTTTAGAAAAATGAATAAATATAATTACTTCTTTATCTTCTTCTGTTAAAAGTTTTTCGCGTTCCACAAGTAATTCCTCATCAATAAAATATGGATCTTCTAAAAGTAGAATATTTTATTAGAGATACAAAAAACAGCAGTCTATATTAACCTGGTGATTTCTTCTTTGGTACTTCATCGGTATGTAATTGTGAATTAAGACGATTATGTAAAAGTTCGGCTTCAGTGTTAACTTCTGTGGAAGGCGGTTGATTAATATGATGATCAGTATCATGTGCATCGAAAAATTCATTATTATCTATATCGTCTTTTTCATCGTCACTTGATTCGTTCCATTGATGTTGATTATGTATTGTCTGAATTGATTCCCATTGTTCATCGTCTTTTTTTATATTCGAAGTTGCCATCTAAAGTGATGGAATAAAGTATATTAATATAGATGTATTTTGCTTATGTTCTTTATTCTTTTGTTAAATGTAAATAACAAAAAGAAACATGAATAGACAAAAGAAAAGTTCTGAACGAAAAAAAAAATATATGTATATATATTACTCTGATGTTTTCCTTTTTCTTTATAATTTAAATCATGTAAAATTAATAGTTACACATCGACAACAACAACAACAACAACTACAACAAAAAAAACGCGAATAGTCCATTCTTTATGATTGTGGTAAACTAGCCGGTGGACATTTAAACAGAAAATCTGCGGGAAATAAATCAGCAGCTTTTGGTAACATTATTTTGTATATTTGTCGGATTGTACTTTCCATAACACCGGCAGCTGTTTGTATATCTTTAAGAACAAACATATATTGTAGCTTTTTTTATAAATAATAAATTTCTACCTTTCATTGGTTTTCGTTCACCAGCAGCAGCACAAGCCATATAGATTGATGCACCTGCAATTGAATCCGGTGCACGACTTTGTATATCGCAAAGTTCTTTTGCACGTTCAGCAATATAAACAGCTGTTTTTTGAATATGAATTTCTTGACGAAGTTCAAGTTGATTACAAAATCGAGGCTTTTCAAAAACAAAAGAATAGTCTTATAAAAATATATGTATATAAACATACCACCAAATTTTTAATATCAATGGATTCCGGTCGATTGGAATTAGGTAAGCTTTGAACAATTTGTTTAAAACATCGACCAATATCTTTTTTTGATGCACTTGTTGATATAGCACAAATTTCTTTGATTGTACGTTGTGCACCTTCTTGCCGACAAGCTATATAAATACATGTTGCAACAATTGCATCTTGTGAACGACCTCGTACACATTTATTTTCATAGCATTGTTTAAAAAGTGAAAATGCACGATTTATAATTCGACTTGATAATGCAATACGTCCAGCCATTTGTCGAATAGCATCATAACCACTTCGTAATGCTTTATCTGCTGATGACATCTGACGAGGTCCATTATTATATTTTTGTTTACCGAATTCGTCGACTGCTCCTGAACCTGTTCCTAATGACATAACAGTTTCAAGACTATCACCACCGAATAATGGATTTTCTGCAGCACCAACACGACTCATATCTTTAGAATCTTTATCGTTAGAAAATGTACGCCATTCAGAACCAACATCCACCATTCTAAAGAAAATTTTCAAATATTCAATATATGTTGTAATAGACATTAGTATTGATAGTTCGAAGTTTTCTAATTAGTGGCGTAACTAGGATATGGCGGGTGGTTGGACGGCGTCCGCAGGATTTTTCCAAAGGATATTTTGAGAGTGTGGGTGTGGGTATTATTTTCTTCAGAGACCACATCTACACCCACACCTACCTTCAGTAGCCGTATATAAATCAAAAAAGTCAATTTTTAAAAAAATAAGCGGTGGTTGGGCGGCGCCCAGTCATGCCCGCCCTTGGTTACGCCACTATTTCTTCTACCTGACAAATAATCTCACAATGGAAAAAGAGATACTCTATCAATTGAATTAGATATTTCAATCAATGTAACATATATGATGTATTCTCCACGCACTTTTTCGGACTTCCTTTATAGATGATTTTCTGCTCTATGATTATCTATGAATTCTTGAGGAATATATCTTACCGATCTCCAACGACCAGACCACATTCTGGACAAACCATATCGCCAGCACGATAATCTTCAACTAAAGCTGCGTCGGGATGAAATCGGCATGCTAATTGTTTAACGTATCTAATAAAAAAAACAAGAATTCGAAAAAACTAATAAAAAAGAAGAATTAATCTTTACCGTGACATGTTTGACTATTACTACTTGTTAATGTGTGAGATCAAATATGTATGTATATATATATCTATCTAGAATAAAAAAGAAACAATTAAACAACAAAAAAAAAGAAAGAAGATATTCCATCATGTCAATCTTTATATTTTCTTCTGATTATCATCATCCAAAAGAGTTATTCATAGTTTTTTTTCTTGCAAAATGTACAAAAAAACAAACAAAAAAAAACAAAATACTGACTTTTTTCTCTTCTAACAATTCGAAACAATTTTTGAAATGATCAGAGATCAAGAATGACAAAGACGGATAATATGTATATGTATATGTATATATGTATATAGTTTTTAGTGAGAATAGAATAAGCACAAAAGAACAGAATAATCAACAAAAAAAAAGATAATGAAATAAGGAATGAATAAAATCAAACAAACATACATATTTCATAAATAGACATACCTTATCCGGCTAGTCTACACACGAGAGAGAGAGAGAGAGAAAAAAAACAAATAAGACTTATCACACAATATATGTGCAGTTAGAATATGTGTCTTCAAATTATATATCACAGGATCGACCACCAGGATGTTTTTTCCTTTTTTTATTTTCCTTTGAATAAGGTGCTAATCCAAATTTTCTAATCTTGCTGTTTTTCCTTTCTAAGAGAAAATATTTCGATTATTGTTATTATTATTATTATTATTATTATTATTATTGTTATTATTATTTCGGTTTTGATAATAATCTCGACGATTATTATTTGGTGGACCTCGTCGAAAATGATGTTCTCTACTGTTCTCACGAGATGATGAGATTTGATGTTCATTATTATTATGATTATGATTATGATTATTAGTTAGATTTGGTCGTGCTTGTTGACCAATAGCAGAAACAAAACGAACAGATGGTGTCTTAGAATTTACTGATGATTGTGGAACCGAATTAACTATTGGATTAGTTAGATTAGGTGGTGGTGGTGGTGGTGTTGTAAACGTAGCCGGTGGTGGTGTTTGATAAAGTGAAGGATCTAAATAATGACAAAATACAAAAAACATATATTTATAGATTAGTTTACTTACTGGCAGTTGGTGGTGGTGGTATACCAAGTGTAAGAGCATTAGCTATTAGTTGACTTAATGGGCCATGAAATGTTGGAGGTGGAGGTAAATTGAAATTCATTGAAAGATTTGGCAAAAGATTAGCTATAGAATTTGGCGGTGGAACTAAAATAATATAAAATTAAGAGATGATTCGTTATAACAGTCTTCGAAAAAAGTGAGTATCTATTTAGTAAAAATATCTTATATGATTTTATTAAGATTCGATGAACTCATATCAAATTAAGACCGAGAAATTTATTCGAGAGTTATAATTGAGCGAAATTTAAGTGCTCGTGTTTTTTTTTTGTACTTACCATTCGCTGTTTCATTTCCAGTCGTTCGTGCAACATTAAGTAAAGCCGATAAAAAGTTGGGTGGAGCAGCAAGCGTAGGTGTTGTTGTCACAGTTGGATTTGTTAATGTTGATGTTGCTGTTGTTATAGTCGTGGACGGATTAATCAATGTATTTGTTGCTGTTGTTGAAATATTTGCAGCAGCTGTGTTTTTAGCTTGTGCAAGAATTTGAGCAACTTCAGGTGAAACATCTCCAAATGCAAATGATGAAAGACTCGGGTTAACTGCAGTGCCTATTGGTATTGAATTATTTATTGAAACTAAAGGTATAGTTGCTGTTGGCGTTGTAGTATTATTGTTATTTACTGATGTTACTTTGCTCGATACAGATGATGAAGTATCCTACATACATATATATATATATTTATAAGAATTTATTTTTTTTAAAAAAACAAACAAAATCAATATCGTTTTATATAATATTCGCGATATTTTATTTTTATTATTTATTTTTATTCTTACATCTTCTAATGGAATCACTTTTGGTTCAATTCGTTCAATATTGCTACTTCCAATAGGATCCCCATCTGGTTCACCTGGACTATCAGGTAAAAATGATCGTATAAAAAGTGCCTGTAAAACAGTTTTTTCACGTTCTTCTTGTACAAGTCGTTCTTGAGAAACAACTTGTGGAATTTGTATTGAATCTGGCAATAAAGTTTTTATTAAAGCTGGTAATGGTGTTAAAATTTGTTTATCATCATTATCATTTGAATTCATATCGTGTACGCCTCGTCGTTTACGTAAATCACGTTCCATAACTTTTTCAAGTTGTGCTATAGATATATTAGCTGCACATGTACGCGAAAATACATGCATTTCAGATAGTTCGGAATCATCTACTTCAAAAAAAGATGTCTGTACAAGTGCTTGACTTTTTTCATCAGCCCAAATCACTTTTTTTTTTACTACTTTTTTTACTCCTGGTTCACTTAAATTACTCTTTATAACTGTATCTAAAAGAAAACAAAAAAAAATGACCATTAGAACAAAATTTGAATAAGGATTAATTGAAAATTCATACCTTTATTTATTTCATCAGGTTTTGGACTAACTATAGATTGACTATCAGATGCATTTAATGGTTCATCGTCGATGCACATCGGTGGTGAAGCCTATAAAAAGTAAATCAAAATTACATATTATACTGGTCTTTATTCTAATTGTATTAGAAAGGTAGATTTGACTATTTCATTATATATTGAAAAATTGATGAAGAGATAGTGTTTGCCATATTATGGATGTGGGCGCGGGCAATGGTTTATCCAGCGGGGGGGGGGGGGGGGGGGGGGGTTTTTTCCCCCCCCAGGGGGGCCCCCTGCCCCCCCCCCCCCCGGAATTCAGTAAAATTACTCTTTTTGCGCCTGAAACTCTACGTTTGCGTCCCCCTCCCCACCAGAAGAGAGATTTTTGCCCTCCCGGCAATCAATTTCACACCCTCGGACGAAAAAAGCTGGCTAAAGCACTGGACGCGGGTACTAACGTTTTTAATCTCACTCACACTGTCACCCACGCTCTCGCGCACACCCACCCACACCCTCAAGATCTAGTAGAGTTCGACTTACCTTTGAATTTCCCATATGATTTATTCGCATATCCGTGTCCGCTAATGAATCTTGCTGTAATTCATTTGATTTCAATCTTTTACGTTCTTTATATTGACTTAAGGAAAATTTTCGTTTTCCTTGTTGAGAATTAAGTTCATCACTTGTTTGTCGATTTAATGTTACACCACTTTTTATTGTTTGAGTCGCTGTTGGTGTTGGTGGTGGTGAACTATCATTCATTTCTGATGGTGGTGATGGTACACTAACATTTGGCCTAAAATAAAAAAATAGAAAATTTAAACATGGGATACACACACATATTGTCAAAAAGAAGATATAGATAAAAATCGATCGACAAAGTCCGTTTCTGTATTCACAATAGAGCATAGAAGTAGTTTGATAGTTTTATTTTCATACATATTTATTTCGTCATATTATACATAAATTACATTAGAAAAACGATTTATCTAATAAAAACCTACCGTATCTTTTTGTGTTTCTCTTATCGAAAAAAAAAGATTTAACCATATCACCATATAATTACTTCCTAAAAGTTAAAACTTATCTGTACATCATTAGAAGAAAAAAAATAAATGAATATAAAATATTTACAGATTGTCATACAATATAAAAAATAATCAAAAATCGATAAAAAATATAACAAAAAATTAGAAAAAAAAACAAAACAACAAGAACACACGGACTTTGTCGATCGAAGAAATTTTGTATATTATACCTAAAAGAAAAATCGAATATAACCTACCTTCCTATTTTAGGTATACGAAATGGCATTGTAGTAGATCGATTCAATGAATTAGTTTTATTTAAACCATCACTATCATCTATATCAGTTGATGTTTTCATTTTTGTTGAATCTGTTGTTTGTAATTGAGTTGTTATACGACGATGTGTCGGTTTTCTATTTGTTAAAGGTCCTATATTTTCTTCACTCTTCCGTTTAATACTATCTGTACTGCTGCTAATATTACTACTACTACTACTACTATTATTATTTGTGCCTGCTGTGGATACTGCTGTCAATGTTGCGGTTGTTGCCATTTTTCTGTCATTGAAACTAGATGTATTATTATTTGATGAGAGCAATGTTCGTTCGTTTTGATTCAATTTTTGAGATGTCAATGGATGTTTATCGTTGGAAATCAATGATTGAGAAGTTGAAGGAAGCTCTGATATAGAATGCATTTTTTTTTAAAAAAAATCAAATATTTAAATAGATATATAATACATACGGGAAAAAGTACGTTCGTCAATATCAACTTGAGACGTATGAGTATTTATTGGTTTGAATATTCCTTTTGACGACCAAATATCGTACAAATGACGAGCACTTTCACGAATATCTACAAGAAATTAAATAATATTAATGATTTATTCAATAGATACATTAACGATCGAGATTGTTATTAAGAAAAGAGCGCTAAATAGGACGTAGTATAGTTCACTATAAAAATATCTGACATGGATTTCTCATCTCGAAAGAACTGTATCATAGCTTATATTCTGCAATATTGATAATTTTGAATATGCCGTTATAGTTTATCATGCACTTTCCGTCAAATATCGTTGCGATTTTCGTAATTATACGAGTTAATCAAACAAGCACATTGATTGAAAAACTTTACACACGACAAAACTCCTAGAAAACGAGATTCGAACGTAAATATCTTTTTTTTCTCTTTCTTTCTTTTTTGTGTATGACAACGCTTTAATAATTTTCAACTTGTTGTAATATATCTGCGATAGTTGGATGCCAGAAAAAAATTCTCTTTTGTTTTTGTCTTAAAACGATTCATTTTATATGAAAAAAAATCAATTCGATTATTTGTTGTATTAGTTTTTCTTTTTTTCATTTGATATTTATACCAAAAACACTGACCCTTTTCTTCCCCTGACTCAGCCGATGCAAGTTCGGCTATTTTGAGCTGTAGCTCGTCGATATCATTCTGCGATATATTATCAATATTGAATGGTAAATGGCCTAATACATTTAATGTATCAAGTAGAAATGCATGATTATGTTCGCTACTAAAATACGAAAGCCATTTGATTAGAATTTGATGACCATCACTTTTTAAAAACCTAGAAATATGAATAATTCAATAAAATTAAACTGTACTTGATAATTTCTTTTTTTATTTCAATGAAACAAAAAAAAAGTGAATATTGTTTACATACGTTATTAAAATCTCTTCTGATTTTGTATGACTTAGAATTTGTAAATAGATCGCTTTATTGACTAGTTTTTCAGCTAATTTCATTAATCTAAAGATGATATTGTTTTCAATAATAAGAATAATAAGAATAACATAACTATGAAACATACGTAATAAATTGCCGAACGATTCGATCACTTTTTAAACCGCCATTAATATCTAATAAATACACGATTGTATTTAATAAAACACTTGGATCAACAGGAGCCTAAGATGTATTTGATAGAAATAAAAATTTGATATTATTCTTTTTTTTGTTTTTTTTAAATTACCATTTATCTGACGTTATGGCCTCAGATGTAAATCTAGAAATATTGTACGAGTTTTATTTGATATAGTAGAACCATGTAAATGTAAGGGAGCAGTCGGCCAACATTGGAGAAAAAAATATACGAACAAAATAACAACGGCTATTACTCTTCTGCTTGTCGTGTCGACGATGAATGATGAGAGAATGAAAGAAAAAAAAAGAAGAAAAAGAAATGGGGTAGCTTGATCGCACTCGCTCGCTTAAGCGGACGAACAAGCAAGAAGAAAAATCGACTCTTTCCTTTTTTTTTTATTTGGGTTATTGTAGGCGGTATGTTCGTCTACACGACCAGTGCACAGAGTTTGCCGTTTTATTCTCCTGTATTCTATCGTATACAAGAAGAAAAAGAAGCATCTATATTTGACATTATCATGTGATCATATGCAATATGTAGATCTACGTCTATAGAGCTTTTCTAGGCCATCATCATCATCACAAACTCAAGACACAAAAAAGTACACACGCATACTATTCATAGTATTTGAATAATAGAGCAATACTGTTGTCATTTTACACATATATATAAATCATTTAAAGCATCTAAATAGTAAAAATTTTAACAGAAGCTCGATATGAATAACAAAATATAATCAATTATTTGATATTGAAAAATCCTATATCAGAGATTAAAACTGTTCTTAATATAAAAATTTCTAAAAACAAAATATCTTTCATTACAGAAAAAAAAAACGATATTTTTTTTTTCAGAAAAAATTCAATAATACATAAAAATAAACAAAATAAAAATAATTTACAAACTGGATCATTGATCGCCAAATATAATATTTTAGTTCCTAAAAAAAATTTATATATTTCTTATCATACAATATTTTGAATATAAAATAATTTCAATGTTCTTCTTGATCAATTCCAATATTGAATTGTTTTTGTCATCTGTCAATTCTTCTTTACATCGTGCGTACACTACATATATAACTACGAATTTATAATCGGTATCTATTGAAGTCACAATGAATATCTATATATCGATACATGATGTTGATAGATTTTATTTAAGATCTCTTCTCGACGAAACTTCACCATCATAAATATACTTTTTTAAAAACAACATTCAATTTTTTCTTAAAAATAAATGATAGATTCATTTCCTATAATTAAATTTTATAGGTAATAATTGACAGTCGTCAGATCATCGTCGATAATGTTGAATTCAAATAAACAATTTGTATAAAATATCCATATGATTTTATCTAGAATAAAATATAAAATAGTATAGACAGATCGCGAAACAAAACGGACATTAAATATTCCGAAGAAAACAAAATCTGCTTATCTCTACAATCGCACCCAATATTATCCTGGAAAAATCAATAGTTCATAATATTATACCATACAGAAATCTACTCTACTTGAATAAACGATTATAATTAACGCGGAAATGCATAAAGTATCATAGTAATAGATTTCATATCGGAAAATATAACATATATTTTAATCCTAGAAAAAATAAATACTAATTGATTTAATTATTCATAAACAATTCTTGGTAATTTAATATTATTTTATCTAAAACAATAAACGAAATCATTCACATGTTTGTCAAATATTGTTTTTCTTATTTCTTTATGTATACCATCTTGTTTCGATGTATTAAATGTTTATCTTATTGAAGGTTATAATCAGAATTAGAAAAAAAAGGGAATTTATAAATATATATATTTTTTCGGATTTATATTCTATAAAAAGAAAAAATATTTCATTTTTATAATTATCTTCTATATTAGTTCATATATATGTAGTTAATAAACTGCATAAGTATATTATATAGTTCAATGATTCATATATGTGATTGACCAATCAGATGATTTATCACATTTTGATTATTATATTATTATGATTCTTTCTTTTCTTGTCAAAAGAGGACGTTATATATATATTTTTTTTCTTCTTCTTTTCTAATTTATTGTTTTTAAGACACATGAATTTTTTCCTTTGTTATGTTTTACAACAAACATACTTCATGCTGATTTCGTCTTTTTGTTTTTGTATTTGTTTTTATACATTCTTCGATTTTTATATATATATCCTATTATTAATCGATTGATAAAACAAATTAGTGTTTTCTTGTTTTTCTCTTCGTCGTAAATATTCGATTTTGCGACTGTTAATTAGAGTATATCGCTGATTTATTTTCATTATATACTTTTCCCTGCATTTCATCCTCGCCATAATTACTTGCGCTCTATTTGCATATGTATGTTGAGATATAATTCTCTTCTCTAGTGAACTCCTAGTATTGTCATGATTGTGTAAATGCTTTTCAACGACTTCTTTTCCTTTTCATCATTTCTTATTAAGAAATTATTTACTTATGCATTTGATATGCTCGAAAATCTTTCTGATTGATCTCAATTTTATTCTCTTCATACATTTTTTTGTCTTCTCGTCATCGTCTGTATTATGTTAACTGATTAGCACTTCTATTTTCTAGTCAAAACTCATTCTGACATATGTCATTTTCTCGATAATAATGCACACACTAATAATAATGAGATGTATAGGTCAAATAGAAATACGAGTACTTGCGATTTTTGTCAATAAACTGATAAAATGTTATTACATACAGATCGATTTATATTTAATCTTATTATATTTTTTTTCTCTTCATATCATTCAACCTTTTCTATTTTCATTATTACACATACATTCACACCTGTATTGTATCTTAAATGTCTGCCGATGGGAATGAAGAATATGCACTTAGGTCAACAATAAGAGTGTTCATTTTTTTTTAATAATAATAGCGATTTGTGTGCTCTGACGTGCATATGAGTATGTACGCGAGCGTGTGTATGTAAGTAGGAACGAGCGAACGATGCGATGAAAGTGACACTTGAGAAGTTCGGCTAGCTTGCGATCTGACTGACTTGATTAAATCAAAATAAAGCAACGAACATATATATATATACACACACACACACATACACTTATATATTTATGTAGACATACTGAATAATAGAGTAAGAGAAAATGAAGAATAGATTTAAACATCTATAAACGACGCCAATTGGTCATGCTCATAGTGAGAACAAACAATAACTAGAAGAAAGCAAAGTAGTTGAACAGGCAACACAATCCGGTTAACATTTCATCTCTTTTTTTTTAATATATATAGATGCACCATCTCTTTTTTACATGCATATTTCCATTTTGCTTTTAACAGCAATAGCTTAGACTAAATAAGATTGAGATTGAGAGAGAGAATACTCGACGATTCGCACTACTACATCGTTTAACTTGTTTTCTTCGTTTTCTTTTGTTCGTCCTCATTCAAGCATCATATTGCACGCTAGTATGCTTTCTACTATCATCATCATCATCATCATCAATTTGAGCTCGTTGTATTCTTCTTCAATTCAATTATGTCTTTAATGTATAAAGTAATAATAATAACAAATATTATAGAAAAAAAAAAGAAACGAGAAAAATAAAAATACTCTGCCTTTAGACAATATTTACACATCATGCACACATACTTTATGCTCAAGTGCTTACATACTTTTAACATAATCAGTTATTCTTTCTTTATATATATATTCATATGACTAAACGATGATATACATGATAATTTATTATTTCTATCGCATATTAATTATAAATACTTCGACAAAATAGACAAACAAACTTTGTTTTTTTTTCTTTTTCGTTTTCATCGATCAAAATCCACCTACTTCTAATCGGATAATACTTGACGTAATTAAATTGTGCTTGTCCTTTAATCATGACCATATGTCATTCTCCAATTTCTTGTCAGTACCTCTTTCTCTTAAATGCTAATCGCTCTCTACTACCAATATATATATACATATACAATTATTTCTAATAAGCACGAGTTCCTAGTTGATGCGTGTTGTCCTCTGGGTATATATTTATGTGCATCACGAACGACAACTTTTGATCTTTTTTTTTTTCTTCTTCCTATGTTGAATGATGGTAGTAGTAGCAGTAATAGTGGCCTTTTGTCTTTTTTTATCGATCGCGATTAATTAAGTATCTTTTCTCTATCCGAATCGTGTGTAAATTGGACACTTGTATTCGGATGGAGAGAGTAACAGACATTTGCTTTACACGCCGTCGCCGACGACTAGTGTGTTTTTCTTTTCCTGTATATATATATACATACATACATATATATATATATGTGCAACCTTATCACTTGCCGGCAGCAGCAGCCATATTGCCGACAAGACGGGGGCACGCCAGGTCACGACAACGACGACGACGATTATTTTCTTCTCCTCTTCTCTTCTCTTCTTCATCGTCGTTGTCGATTCTCTTTTTTCCGATGCGACGCGCACTACTGTTTTTCTATCGTCGACTAATAGAAAATGATTAAAACATGTTCGTTGTTCATGCACCCTGTTGTGTTCTACAAAGATAACATATTTTCAATATTTTATCTCAATTTGTTCTTTGCACGTGTTATTTTACTAATCATCAGTTTGTCAAGTGTTATGATGAATATATATCATAATAATATATATCAATCGTTAATTTCTTTGATTAATAATCGCTAAAAAAGAAAATTATCGATACTGACATAGATATATATATACATTTAGTTTTCTCTCTTTCTGTCTCACTTCAATTTCATTTTCGTTTATATATTGACATTGTTATTTTTCTTTTCTTTTTTTTTGTCTTCAGATGTTTATTCAACATCGCCATCGTGCGCAACTGAATAGTTAAAATCATCAAAATTCATTCACATACGAATCTCAAACTTGCTAGTAATAATTTACATCATTCACCTAAACAACAACACGACGATCATCTATTAAATTCTCATAGTAGTAAGAAAAGAAAGAAATTTAGTAGCGGTACCGGTTCCGCTTTACCGAATACCGGCGAACAAGACAAATTAACTGGAAATATGTATTCAGGACGTAGTGGTCCACAGGTATAATTTAATTAATTAATTATAATTTTAAATCTATGTATATATATATTTCGTCTAGGGTTCTCAGGTGGATTTTAGTATTATTGAATATTGCGATCGTATTAAGAAAGAATTTAGTTTATTACAACAACAGTGTCAAAGGTAAAAAGAAAATTGTTATTTTTTGTAAATCAAACATTGATTTTAGTTTGAAATTTGATTGTGAGAAATTAGCACAAGAAAAAATTGAAGTTCATCGTCAATATGTTATGGTAAATAAACAAAACAAAAAAATTCACATAGACTTATGATTCATTTTTTAGTATTATGAAATGTCCTATGGACTCAATGTTGAAATGCATAGACAATCAGAATTAGCTAAACGTTATTTAGCTATTTGTCATCAGATACTTCCATGTTTATCTCAAGAAGTATATAAAAACAAAAACTTCGTAAAATTCGATAATAAATTTAATTTTTATTTAGCAACAAAATCAAGTTGCTACAACACTTGAACGTGCCAAACAAGTTACAGTTGCTGAACTCAATGCTATTATCGGAGTTAGTTGATGAAATTTGTGATATTTAAAGGAAATCTTTTTTTCGTAATATTTTAGCAACAAATGCATGCACAAGGTGTAGCTTTTCCTCATGCTCATGGTCAAGGATCTCATTTTGGTGCATCACCATTTGGATTACCTGGAGCTGGTGGACTTCCTCCAGGTCTTTTAGCTTTACAAGGTGTTGCAGCAGCTGCACAACAAGCATTTCTTAAGGATGAAAAAGGTTGTTTATTATTTATTTATTTATTTAATTATTTAATGTTTATAATTCTTAGATAATCTTGAACGTGCAGCAGCATCGTCACATAAAGTATACAAGACTAGATTTTGTTTTGCAAAAATTAATATATTTCTTATTTTCTTTTCTCTTTATTTAAATGAAATTCTTTAGCGTAGTGCAAATTCTCCACATCATATCAATGAAAAATATCGTGGACATAGTCGTTCACCACTTGAATCAAAAAAACATAAACGTGATGAGGTATTTATTTAATATAAGAAAAAAGACTCTTATTTTAATAAAATAATTTGTTTTATAGGAAAGTGATGGAGAAAAAAGTGATGGAGATTTAGTTGTTGATGATACTAACGAGGTATTTATTTATTCTTTTTTTGTTTTTTTTAAAATATATTTAATTAATTTATATAGAATGATAAACCATTAACTAACGGTTCTCGTTCACCACATGAAAATGGTGATTCATCAAAACTAAATTCGGCTATACGTAATAAATCATCACATAATGATGATAATAGCCGAAGTCCACACAGTGATAATGGTTCAACAAGAAGTACACCTTCACAGAAGGTATAATTCAATAAAATATTTTGTATTAAAAAACTATTATTTTTTTCTCTTCTTTATAGGGTAGTGAAAAAAGTGGTTCAGCACCGATCACAACAGCAGGAGCAACGAATACATCATCGAGTGGAAGTTCAACGAACAAATCAAGTTCACGTAGTGGCATTCGTCATTCACCTAAACTACCCCGTATGTCATCATGTTCTCCTTTAGCTGAATCTGTTTCTTAAAAATAAAAATATGATCAGTGTGTGTGTGTCTTCAGCAGCTGCACCATTTGGACCCTACGGAGCCTTCATGCCGGAGAACTTCGCCGCACTTGCTGCCGGACTCAACACAGCCTTCGGTGGAAATCCAGCCGGTTCACCTCGAGGTCCACTGAACGATCTGTACTCGGCGATGCGAATTCCTCCACAACAGCAGCAATCATTGCTAACATCAGCGAATGCAGCGACGAGCGGAAATTTAATTGAAAGAAATGGTGCTAAACAGCACTATTCATTTCATTGTGATTCGTATGATGCATCACCAGCATCAACATCATTACAACCATATACATTTCCATCTGATGCTTTTGAAATGACTGATTGTCCACGTCGAACAAAAATTTTAAGTCATTTAATACATGGTGATGTTGTTTGTGCAGTAACAATATCAGATTTAAATAAACATGTATATACCGGTGGTAAAGGTTGTGTTAAAATTTGGGATTTAAAAGAAAGTACTAAAGATACAAATAATTCTCCAATCACAATGAATAAACCAATCGGTCAATTTGATTGTTTGGTAAAAAAATTTGTTTTTTTTCTCTTCTATATTTAATAAAATAAATGATTTTTTTTGTTTTTGCTAGAGTCGTGATGCTTATATTCGATCAGTTAAACTTTTACCAGACGGTCGAACATTAATTGTTGGTGGTGAAGCATCTAATATATCAATATGGGATCTTAATTTAGCTCCATCAACAACACCTAATGGTACATTAATAAGTTCGACTGCATTAGCTCGTGATGGTAGTAATTCTAATTCATCAACATCATCAAATTCTTCATCAACAAATTCTCCATTAACACGAATGAAAGGAGAACTACAATCGAAAGCAGCTGCATGTTATGCATTAGCTATATCAACAGATGGAAAACTATGTTTTAGTTGTTGTTCAGATGGAAATGTTCTTGTATGGGATATACAAAATCAAAGTATTGTTCGGTAAATAAATAAAAAGAATTTAAATGTCTAAAATAAAAGAAAACTATTTTTTTTAATAATTTAGACAATTTCAAGGTCATACTGATGGTGCAAGTTGTATTGATTTAACTCCTGATGGTTCACGTGTATGGACAGGTGGTCTTGATAATACTGTACGTTGTTGGGATGTACGTGAAGGTCGTCAATTACAACAATATGAATTTGATTCTCAAATATTTTCACTTGGATATTGTCCAACAGGTGGTGATTGGTTAGCTGTTGGTATGGAACAAAGTTTAATTGATGTCTTAAATGTATCATCAAATAAACCTGATAAATATCGTTTAACATTACATGAAAGTTGTGTTTTATCATTAAAATTTGCACATTCAGGAAAATGGTTTGTATCAACTGGTAAAGATAATCAATTAACTGGATGGAAAACACCATATGGTGCAAAAATATTTGACGTATGTTTATGATCAAAAGAAGAGAGATAAAATAATTGATTTTTTTTGTTTCATTTTAGAATAAAGAAGGTTCGTCTGTATTAAGTTGCGATGTATCTCAAGATGATAATTTCATCGTGACTGGTTCCGGTGATAAAAAAGCAACTTTATATGAAGTTATTTATGAAAGATAAGAATGAATATACATATACATATATGTGGATTTCAAACTAAAATAGAACATTGTCTACATATTTTTTTCTCTTCTACTTCTTCTGACCTATATGTATGCGTCTATACAGTGAGTTTGTTTTCTCTCTTGTTTTGGGTCAGATATTTCAATGTTGTTCTTGTTGTTGTTCTTCTTGTTGTTGTTGCTGTCATTCTACTATATACTTTACATATATAAATCTATATAAATATATATGTGTCAATGTTTATTATATTTTGTAAATATTGTTTTGTATTGTGCATGTGTATAACTCTTCTTTATTGTTTGTTTTTTCTTCTTCTGCTTGTATTGTGTGAGGATTGAGAAAAAAAAAGGAAAAAAAAAGTGACGTGGATATTGATGTTTGTCTTTTCTTTTGTGTTTGTAATTTACCTCTCTTTACATATATATAAAACAAAGAAAGAAATATCTGATTTGACAGACAACAAAAAAAAACAATGACAAAGTTATTTTTTGATTGATAAAATAATAAAGCAAAGAGAAAGATTGAATTAATATTAAATCAACAGAAGAACAATGATGTTTACATACTACAAATTCTAAGATTATATTTCTATAGCAAAAAAAAACATTACATTCATAATTGCTCCAAACTATTAAGAAAAATTATTATTGGTACTTGATTTACCAGATATGTTCTATTCAAATGATAAACGGAATGTTTTCGTTACATTCAACTTTGCTCAGAGATGAATTTCAAAGATGATGGAAGTGACCTCGGTAGAAAACAGGAGTAAAAATTAGGGGTAGAGCAGTTCCATATTAGTTCCGTTCTTGGGAACTGTTAAATAGTTCTTTTGGAAGGAACTGAACTGTTGGTGTAGTTCAGTGCTATTCAAAGAACTGTTGACACAGTTCAGTTCCTTTCAAAAGAATTGTATTGTTAGTTTTTTTGACCAGTTCATCTGAACTTGGAACTGTGAACTGTCCTACCCCTAGTACCGATAGCAAAAAAAACTATTTTTGACGTCTATGAGAGATAATATCAATTCATTGTATAGTCTTTAATATATTTCTTTCCAAAATCTGCTGCTGACTTGCTTGCTGGTTGAGAATGCCTAGTTTTTATCCTTTTTTCATATCATATACTACAAGCGATATTAACAACAGTGATTATTCATAAGATACTGAATGAAATAAATCAGAAGAATTTCATATATTCATGGAAAAGTACATGAAATGAAAGGGAAAAATCAAATGAAAGAAAGAGAACGAACGCATGGATAATGCCTATACTATAATTCATCTTATGGTACATTGTAAGTATGTGTTATAATACTGTTGATCATATATATTATTTCTGAATAAAATTCATATACTTCTACAAAATAGATTCCGCCGACTAAATAGCGAGTTATAATTAGAATTTGAAAATTTGTCAGGGGAAATCAAATAGATTGAAGTTTTTGTTAGAATATCCTTTTCATATATACAATATAAAAAGAATAAATACTCATGAGATAATTAGTTTAACTCGTAAAAATTCTAATCTATGAGTAGAAAAATGTTTTATTTTACTTTGTATCGAATAGCGACATCTAAAGAACTACTCTCTATTCGTAATAAATCAGCTGAGTGGAATATATTGTTGATGTTGTGTCAGAAAAAGAAGATGAGTGTGAGTCGAAAGCAAATAACGCAGATAGATAATATGAAGAAGAAGTTCGTGTGTTACATAACGAAATGTTTATTTCTCTAGATTTCTTTTTTTGCTGATACTTACACAAGAAATGGCCGCACGTAGTAAAAAAGTTTTACTTAAAGTCATCATATTAGGTATACAGAAATATAAACTAATTAAATTGATTTAATCCAAAAATTTTTATAAATTTAGGTGACACCGGTGTTGGCAAGACAAGTTTAATGGGACAATTTGTTTCACATAAATTTTCTAATCAATATAAAGCAACCATAGGCGCTGATTTTTTAACCAAAGAAATACAAATTGATGATCGTCTTGTAACAATGCAGGTATATATGATCAAGATAAATATTCTTTTTAAAACTGAAATTTGTTTTTTTCTTATAGATATGGGATACAGCTGGACAAGAACGTTTTCAAAGTTTAGGTGTTGCTTTTTATCGAGGTGCTGATTGTTGTGTACTTGTTTATGATGTGACACAGCCTAATTCATTTCGATCATTAGATAGTTGGCGAGATGAATTTCTTATTGTAAAATTCAAAATTTTTTAAGGAATTATGATTAATCAAAAATGTTTTCTTTTTAGCAAGCTGGACCTCGTGATCCAGAAAACTTTCCATTTGTGGTATGTAAATTTATTTAATATCGAATCTCTATTCAAAAACATATATTTTAAATTTAGGTCATTGGCAATAAAATTGATCTTGAAAATCGTGCGGTTTGTTTTTTAATTGATTATTGTTTTCATCCAATTATTTATTCGATTTATTTAGGTTCCAACACGTAAAGCACAAAGTTGGTGTACAGGTATATAAAAGATAAATCAAATTGAAGTTTTTTTTTATAAAAAAATCTTTTCTGTTAGATAAATCAAATGTACCTTATTATGAAACATCAGCTAAAGATGGTCTTAATGTTGAAAAAGCATTTGAAGCCGTTGCACGTAATGCTTTAGCACGTGAAAGAGAAGTTGATCAAACACAAGACTTTCCGGCACCTATTAAAATTCCTGATAATGATCAACCACCACCATCAAAAGGATGTCCATGTTAAGTGAACAAATCAACAAAAAAAAGAATGATAAACAATCACAAAATTCTACAAAATTCATTTATTTTTTCTTATCCTTTTTTTTGATAATAACATCTTTATATAAAAACGAGAATTATAAGATATTATTATGCATATTTACATTGTTTTCTCTTTTTTATTCAAATGATTTCAATCCCAATTATATATACATATATTGTTGACTATGTTAGGTCATTAAAATTGGACTTTTATTTTCCAGAAACAATGCATATAATAATATAAAAATACTTTCGATGATGTTAGCATTTTTTTAAAGAATTAATTAGTCATATATATATTTATAAAATATTTGAGATGAAGGAAATATTACTAACAAAAATGCTTGTTTTATGTGAAGTTAATTGATAAGACAAATGATAAAAATATTATCATTGTTATCTTAACACTAACAAAAAAGAAAAGACTGTAAATAATAAATGAAATTACGATGTATAAAATTGTTTATATATTTTTTTTCCTAATGCACCGTCAATTCATTCATATAAATAGCAAGATGAATTTTTATATTTCTAATTATTTAGCTACTTTTTCTGTAAATTTTAATAGTTTTCATGTATATATATCAAAATTATTTTGAAAATTGAGTTATTGGAAAATAAGGAAACTCATGATTATCATAAATCGTTTTAGATTATGATGAATGATTCAGAAGTCTGTTTCTAAACAGAGTAGTTTTATTGAACTTCAAATCTGTTGATAATAAGAGTACGGATAGATATTAGGAGTGCTACATTAGTTTATTCTGATCAACGATAGTATGCCTTTTTATACATCAGGATACTATGCTTAACTTTAAAGTGAGGGTGTGGGTGTAAGCAAAGAAAAGATACACCCACCCCCAAGGAAAGTTTTCTGGTTAGTTAATAACAGTAAACAAGTTACTTCTGCACAAAACAATTATAAAACGTTGCATTATGAGCCCAAAGTGCAATGTATTGTAGTAAATGGCTCAGAGAGTAATATAGTGTGATACATCGCTTGTTAGTATCGTGTAGATGTGAGAAAAGACAGTTTCTGATCAATAGTTGGTTAACGGATTTGTTTCATGGCTATTGATGAGGCTCAAGATGTGTTTTGAATAAGAGCTGCGTGTAAGTTATATGACTTGGCTTCATTGATGGGTATGATTTATATGGATTAGAATGTTGCTCTATTGTAAAGATCAGTTGTTATCTATGTCAAATTGATAAAACTTCAGAAAATTATGCGAATTGTTTTCCTCATAAATTGAATTTAATGATCTATTTCTATATCTTATAGTGATAAAACACTGAGAAATCATTATAAGACATCTCATCAAACAATATCTCCCTGAGTCTGAATCCGAGATCGCAGGATTCTAAATAATTCTTATACATTATCAAAAATTATAATTCATCATATCCTCAATATTGTCTGAATGACCATTCTTTTCATTTGTTTCTCGTTAATGATGAATACTCATTGATTCGTTCAATTAGACCATAAGTTGGTGACATCGAAATACATGTTGTAGTTTTTTTAACTTTTCCTTCGTCGCACGAACTTCGTTCAACACTATTACAATACAATTCGATTTCATGCAACTTATTCTTTTTTAGATTGTTTTATGCCACGACCACTATTGAAGGTGATATATAGTTCTTTTTCTTCTTCTTTTATTACAGAGAACACTTCCGTAAAGAATTAGAAATGTAAATATGCCTAAGAATGTAATTTATACACATACGTATGTATTTGTATTACCTTATCAGTCGGCTCTCTCCATTACGGTTTTATTATTTACAGAGTTTTTTTCCGTACGCGCGCCTGAGACAATAGAAGATAGAATTAATTCAAAAATAAGTGAACAAAATATTCTTTTATTTATTTATCAACTAATTTTCAAAATTTCTTTTTTACAACTTCGATACTGTCTTCCACAAATTTAATGTGAGGATGAGTTGGAGGTAATGCACGTTGGAATATGTCCAGAGCACGTTCAGAATACGACAGTGCTTTCGAATAGTCTTTCATATTGTTATACACACTACCTATGCTCCAATATGAAGCAGCCAAATGAGGATGATTTGAAGAAAGACTTTTTTGAAAGATTCCAAGTGCTCTTTCGTGAGATGAAAGTGCTTTCGAGTACTCTCCCATGTTGTCATACACCAAACCGATGTTGTTGTATGAAGTAGCCAAATCAGGATGGTTTGAAGGCAGAGTTTTTTGTCTAATTTCAAATGCTTTTTCGTGCGATAAAAGTGCTTTCGAGTACTCTCCCATGTTGTCATACACACCGCCAATGTTACTGTGTGAAGTGGCCAAATGAAGAGGATTTGTAGGCAGAGTTTTTTGCAAAATTTCGAGTGCTTTTTCGTGCGATGAAATTGCTTTCGAGTACTCTCCCAGCTTGTTATACACACTGCCGATGTTACTGTATGAAGCAGCCAAATCAAGATGATTTGAAGGAAGATTTTTTTCAGAGATTTTCAGTCCTTGTTCGTTATACCAAATAGCCTTTTCATAATCACCTTGATTCCCATGAACAACTCCCAGCCGATTATAATAAACCGCTTTTTCGCTCTCATCAGATGTCTGTTCGAGTAATACGTTATAAAGTTCTTCGGCTTTATTAAATTGACCAATTGTAAGCAATAGTTTACCCAATCTGTGCCATCCAGTACTACCACGAGCTTCTTTTCGGATCCTATCAGTAAGTAATCGTAATTGGTGATCATCATCCGACGTTAATTGTAAGTTAACTTGATAAAGTTGATTCTTATTGTCCATTTTTTCAATTGTATTGACTCGAAAGACGGTGTGCATTGAGAAAAGAACTTCATCTTCGTCATCGAAATAACTGTTTTCTTTGATAGAGGCAAATGGTGTTGATTTAATGCAAGGATCAATGGACATTACAAAAGAGAATGCCAATCGTATCCGGTTTAGTCGAAGCACATTCAGCAAAAACGAGGGATAATTCTTTATCTTTACTAGTGGACAAGAAGTTGTTAAATGACAGAAGTCCATCTTTGGTTTTTTGAAGTCTCTCAAAGTCTGATTTCATAAGGCCTTGTCCTCGATAAACTAAAAAAGGTTTTCTTCCATAACTATTGACTTGTTGTTCGTATAAGTGTTGAATTTGTTCATGTACATCACGTAGAAAAAAACCCATAGTAATAATTATATCGGCGTCCATTGTTCGAAGAGCATAATTGAGCATAGAATAGATATCGGATGGGAAAGTATACCACCAAATGGCTAATTTAGAACTGTATTCATTCTCAAAACGGTTAATATTGGTTGGCGACACGCAGTTATTATATCGACAATAAGCAATAAACTGTCTAATGACCTGTTCACCATGTTGCATATCAAGAAGAATTTCCTTGAATATCTGGGTATACATAAAAGTTGGCTCCAACTGATTCAAATTATTCGTCGAAGCCATTTCATTTGCTGTGATAAAACTCATGGCTATTGAGTCTTGGTTGAACTGCTTGATACCATTTTGTAATGCTTGACATAGATCATCGATGTTGGTATGCATGCTCTTGATTTTGTCCCATTGTTTTGTCCATTCTTCATGTAGCATTTTAGTATCATTAAAAATATAAATACCATACAGCTGAGGAATACCATTAATGAGCGGCATTATTTGTTGACACATAGTATCCTTGATAACGAGAAAAAACTTGATGTCTTCTTGAGCATCTGTAAGAAATTCGATGCATGCATCTCGTTGCGTAAAGACATTGACATCATCAATAATGGTTCGTATTTGTTTTAATGTATTTTCATAATCTTCGTTTGTTTGGTCGATGCTGGTATCAACCCATAGGAGAAGGCAGTTTTGTGCCACGCGTTGCTGTGATTTACGAACATCTGATGATGCCGTTGATTTGGATGATTCAGCGGCATTTTGATCTGATTCTGATCCGCTGATTCTGATCTTTTTGTAATTTGATTTTGATTCACTCATTCTGATCCTTTTGTAATTTGATTTTGATTCGCTCATTCTGATCTTGTTGTAATTTGTTGTGGAATATGAACTTTTCAGAAGATATTGTTGTTTGAATGAAAAGAAAAATCACTATTCTTCCTTATATAATTAGTGACTTGGTTTTTTTCAATTTTTCAACGACTTCGAATGGGTGTTTTTTTGTTGTCGCTAAAGAACAAACTTCACGTGGTTACGTTCGAAAATAATATTATGCAGAACAAAAAAATAGGTAAAATCAACGAAATTCATAGGTAAGAAACTAGTATGACGGCAATCCCATTGTGAATACGATTAACTAATCCAAAGCAAAGCACACAACACCTATCCATATCCATAAAATACCAAATATCCTATTTATTTCTTATTTCTAATCCTTGTCCGAGAAACCTTAACACGTATCAGATCTGACCCAAAGATGGTCTCGAAAATTCAGAAAAATTCCGGATTCTTTCAGTTTTTCCAGCATATTTCTGGATTTCAGTCTTTTTTTATTCCAATTTGTATTTTGTGAGACATACGTTTTCATAATACCGCATATAATAAATTTTAAAAATTAATATAGGATCTTTTTGGAATAAATATTTCCATACTGACCACTTGATGTAACATAGATTGTCTAGTACTTTCAATGAAAATCAAGGTATTGCAGAAATATTATTTTCTTAATTGAGTAGAAAATCTATTTATTACATGAAAGTTCACTGTTAGCTAGTTCGACATAGAACATCTAAGTAGTCAATGTAATAATATAACGACATTTACAGAGAATATTCCTTATATAAGTACTTACACAGGCGATTTAATAATGTCCTATATAAACTTCACACATAAAAACATCATAACAATTTTTGGTTTAATCTTTCTTGAACTTATTTTAATGATAATATATCTATAAAATAGTTAAATTATTCATTTTTGATATTCGCGTTTAAACATCTTTTCTTCCACCTAGTACTATTCCTAGGACTTATGGTCAATCAATTGAAATTTTTGAATCAGGACAAATCTATTCATCATCAAAATCTATTGGTACTCTTCTTTTCAATCATCTTTCAGAATCAATTCGAATATCCGGTGTAGTCGAACATTGTTGTATATCTATTAATTATTGTATACCACTTCGTCTTCTTGGTGGTGATTTTGTGAAAGGAAGGCTTATAAAAATCGATCAATAATTATTCTTTGGCCTGCTATGAATTGGAAATATACAAATGAAGATCTTTTTTTATCAAATTTCATTACTAATTCAATCTCAATATCATCAAACATATGTTGAATTAATAAATATTAAAATAAATTATATACTATTACAAATACAAACAAAACAATGTGAAATTTTCGATAATCTTCGTCAAAAATATTCATTTCAATTTTCATCAACTTTTATTCAATTTAATCATCGATATTTATTAATAAGAATTTTTTAAGTTTACCTATTCATCAAAAATTATATCATCCTAAAACTTATATTCATCAATTTTGCATATATTTAACAAATAATCAATATTTTCATTTTGATTTATTTGATACTTTATTTTTAGAATGAACTCAGTAACTGTACAAGCGTAGGAAGAACTTATTATTTATTGATAATCGATTAGGAATGATTAATTACACCAAGATTGCGATGTACTTACATCCACATCTTCAAAAATCCCATTAACTACTGATATTTGATAAAGAAGAAAACAAAGTTCTGAATTCTAAACAATTCCGTTGGTTCTAGCCTGCAGAACAGACTCCATCAAATCATATCTAATAAGATTTTTTTAAGTCAATACATTTTATTACTTTTTTCCTATTAGACATTTTCAGAGACATAACATGCAAAATAAAAATCATGACTACCTATAGTCAGACATCAAAGAGTCACACCTAATGTCACTGTCTCGACATCGATCATGTAAAAAGAAAAAGTAATCTTTATTTACTCTCATGGGAAGACAAAAAAAAGGTTTTCTTCTTTTTGTTTTTCTAATTTATCTTATCGATATTCGAAAAACATTTTTTATTGAAATAGACAATCATTATTTGTTTGAATATGTCATAGATTTGTATATATCGATCGTATTTACACTTTACATATAGACTTATTGAAAGATAAAACATGCCTCAAGATGAAACGATTCATTTAAGAAGCATCAATGTGTGATATCGCACATTTGACAAGCTCATTCTTGGAGAGAAGGGCGGTGTCTTGAACAAATAATACTATTTTTCATCGTTATAGACACGTATCTCATGGACAAGTTAAGAATTGTTTTATGATAGTACTTCCGCAACTGATTAATAATTCTTCCATTGAATATCAATGATAAACGATCGATCGTTTGGTTTTTACTTGTATAATCTTCTTATCCTACAGAAAATATTTGAATGATGAATACTTTCTTCTATTGATCTTTTTTCTTTTCTTTGATGGAATCTCGAGATCGTTAATCATTGTAAAAGAAATACGACAGGTTGTGACGAAGATGATAAGTATATCGAATGTTGATAGATGTTGAAAAATGTCGTAAGAGAAATCTATTTTTTTTCTTCTTTTCTATTCAAAGTGTTTATATGTCCGTTAGAATGTACATCCGTATGAATGATTGAGAATAACTGTCGGCTTTCAGACAAATTCAAGAATAAGAAAGAACTAAAGGAAATTTAAATCGGATGTAAAATGTTCCCGTCGATGTTAATCAAGTGGAAACATAAGATGAGGATGCACTTTGAAATTGAGACGATAATAAAAATACTTGCACACCTAATCCGATTGAATTCCTGCCAGTTCAATGAATTAAGAAGTGATAGAGATAATAATAATATAAAGAAAATCTTGATAACTTTCCAAGGTCTTATTAGTTGAAATTAATGTTGATTCAGGCATTCCATTTTACTATTGATCAAGACAAAAAAAGAAATAACAGAGCAACTGATTGAAAGGGCGATCGTGTATATGCATAGTTAGCTTCCGTTTTATCTTCTACCGCCTGTCATGATTGGCCTTCTTTCTTTGTGATCATAGTAAAAGGCGTGATTGGAACCGCCTGTTCGAATACATATATAGACAAAAAAAAGAAGAATGAACGGTTGGTTATATAGACAAGTGGTTGTAGAACAAGGCATGTGATATATATCAGACCTCCTGCTAACCGGACAAATCAAACCATTGATCATAATGATTTAACCGACATCGAATAAGCTAACTGGGGGTGGTGATGATGATCATCATTATCAAGGCAATAGACAAAAAATGAACTAATCATTAGATATCATTCTAATTTCAGTTAGTAAATAAAATATTCTTAACTAATTTATATTTCACACCTTTCATGTGTGCATGCGTGCATATGTTCGTGAAATCAGTCATTCGAATTTCAGAAGAGAAAATATATAAAACTAAAAGTGAGATATGACCATCGTCACTCATTTCTTGTGAGTGCACGTGTGAAAAGGTAATAATGATGATAATAGGCTTGACAGAAATGTGCAAGCGGGCAATAAAATTTGACATTGAAGAAGATCGGTCTAATTTCTAAGTGTATGCTTATGTCCGTATTCACAACACATGTGTCAAATGGTTTCGTTTGAAGATCATACCAATACCGACAACTATTTGACATGCAAGTGACACCACTCATCGATGACACGTTTGATTTTTTCGATGATTATAGATCTGAATGTTATAAACTCACGCATGGAATATTCTTAAAAGGAAAACAACTGTGCCAAAATAGACTGCAACAAATTAGTCAAAGATGTACATATGCACAAAATCTCTTGAGAATAAAATTCATGTTTATTCTTATTACATATATCTCTATGTCGGCGCGATATGTGATGAAGAAAAAACAAATCAAATTACTTTTGAACAACACAAAAAAAAAGAAAAGAGATTTGTCGATTCAATTATTCTGTATACATAAAGACGATAATCTTCACGACGACTGATTATTTGAATCAACATACCGGACAGATTTAAAGAGAAGAAAAAGGATCGGTACGAGATTAAGTTTTTTTTCTTCTTCTTCTTTTCCCTTTGATCGACACCGCCCATTTCTGTTTTCTCTCTCTCAATCAAACAAAAGCAAATG